ACATTTTAATAATCAGTTTTTAAAAAATCTTTCATACAAACTCTCAGTGGGATCCTCTGTTAGGGGATTGTGGATTGGGGTTGGGGGTTGTCTTGCTTGTTTCTTTATTTCCTCATGTTTTCAGGGGTCTTGGATGTGTCCATCAATTGAGGTGGATCCCCCCCCCCCTTTTTTTTTTTGCATGTGTCCTTTTGTGTCTAATTATCTTATTTGTTCTGGGACTTCTGTTTTTGATACATGAGTAGATGCCAAGGGGTAGGATGTGAGCACCCTGATTGTTCCTCTTTGAATCCTTGGTATAGTTTGAGGCTTTTGTCTCAAAATAATGTCAGGGCTCAGATGGAGTGTGTGGAGTGAAACTCACTATTGCTTGGTAGAGATGTATTTCTCAGCTGCAGGATCTCTACTCTGTGATTTTATAGTGTCCCAATCGCTTTCTGACCCTCTTAGAGGGAAGGAGGAGCCAGGAGTAGCATTAATTTCAGCAACAGATGTACAGCTTTTTGCTAAATGTCTGGTGTCTACTTTGATGTCTATACTATTTGCCACTTATATAGAAATGGTGGGGTCAGCATTTAACAACAGTACTACAAATAAAAAAAACATGAAGTAGGTAAGGAATTTGACAGAAGGTGTTTACTATGTTGTCTAGTATATTAATGATTATCCCAACTTGAATGGCATGGTCTAATCATCAGTTTTGGGTTTTGTCTCTTCTATTATTTGCATTAAAGTATAACTTAAGATTGAGTGTCATTAATTTATGTGTGGAGTAAGATATGCGGTCTTTCGGTTGGGTTTAGTTCAGCAGCAGAGTTTCTAACCTGTGAATTTTTATTGTCCCTGTAGGTTCCCGGCACCTCACAGAATAGGGTAAAATAAACAATTTTAATAACTGTTGCAAAAAATACACAGCATTAAAGTAAATGCCCAGTTCCTACTACAACATCTTCAACATAATTACCACCAAAACCCAGGTACAGTGGATTCAGCAATTTTAAACAGTAAAAACAGTAACCATGAACTAGATTTGGCTTTAAAGCAAACAGCAAGTATCAGTTTTATCCTCCAAAGCAGTAATGACTGTATCAGCATTAATGGTGGGGGCAAGAGTTATATAAGCCAATTAGTTCTCACAGGTGTAAAAATTGTTCATTAGGGGAAAATGTGTTAGGAAGGTAGAAAAGAGTTTACAATTTCAAAAAATAAACAAAGAGAATGCAGAAGAGATGTAGCAGGTGATTTTTACACGAAAGGAGGGGAAAAATAGAAGTATTGGGACAGAGGGAGAGAGAACAGAATTAGGCCACTAGCAAAAGAGAGAAAGACAAGAGAAATAAATAAATGAAAATTATACAAAACCAAACAAAGGCTGGGTGTGGTGGCACACTCCTATAATCCCAGCAGCTCAGGAGGTAGAGGCAGGATTGCAAGTTCAAAGCCAGCCTCAGCAACTTAGCGAGGCACTAGGCAACTCAGTGAGACTTTGTGTCTAATAAAATACAAAATAGGGCTATGAATGTGGGGATGTGGCTCAGTGGTTGAGTGCCCTTGAGTTCAATCCCTGGTACCCACCCCCCCCAAACAAACAAATAAACAAAAATATACAATCCCTAAACCCCAAACCCTCAAAAGACAAAGACAAGAAAAATAAACTACATTAAAAATGCTAAAAATGAGAGAAAAGTAAAAAGTGTATGTGTATATGTCCCTGAACCAATTAACACAGCAAGAATTCACACACACACACACACACAAATTCTTAATGAAGAACGAAGGAACCATCTTCACAGAGATGGTAAAAATAGTCGACCAGATTGGGTGGTCACTGTCTACGTTCAATAGTCCTTTTTTCCAGTTCTCCTTGAGTTTTGTACTGAGAGAGCAAGGGGTGAGGGTTTAATCCTTTCTTGTTTTTGTGTTGCTGTCTGATGTGCCAGTTGGAGCGGCCTAAGACTGAAGTTGTTTAAAATTCAGCTTCCCTTCTCACTAGTATAAGGTGTGACGTATTAGGAAGTTGGAGTTCTGTCTGTTCAGACCACTTTAGTGTACTCCCAGGGTAAAGCTTATGCACAGTTCTGAGGGGAGTTCCAGAAGGTGGGGCTTAGGCCTAATCAGACCTCAAGGGCTTTGTTGGTGATACCTGCTTCTGAGAGATTAGGTCAGCCCACCCCTAGGGCTTAACAATAGTTGATTCCGGTTTGGATCACAGGAGCCTCCCAAGAATTTCAGTGGAGGGGCAAGGGGTGCCAATCTTCCACTAACTGCTCCCAAGAGCACAATCTTCCTGAGCTTAGTCCCCGAGGTATTCACTCCTGCCTGCTCAGACTCCAGAACCACTTCAGCTGGAAGAAGATACACACTGACCATAGCATAGCCAATTCATGCCCTTGGTTACACACTAAAAACATAACATAGGCCACTGGAAGCCTCAGGAAGGCGTCTAACTAGACATTTTGGGCCTGCCCCAACATGGGTGTGAATCATCCTTTGTGGTGAATCAGTGCCAATCACCTTCACTTTCCGTGATGGTGTGGCAGCTGGGTAACCTCCAATATATTCTTTCTTCTTTGTTTATTGTACCCAAATTTGAGTCCCTAAGCCACTTTGAATGTCCAATTTTGAATTTTAGTGAAATCCCTCTTTTACACTTCTTGCTGAGAAGCTGTACAACTGTTGCTTTGGTCTCAGGCCATGGCATGACTTGGAATGCAGCTTTCCTCTACTCTGCCATCTTCCCATCCATCCCTCATTATTTACTGCTGTGAAACAAACAACTCCTAAATTTAATAGCTTAAAATGCTATGGTCTATTTGTCTTGCCTCGAAATTCATATGATGAAACTCAATCACCACTGATGATAACAGGAGATGGGGCTGCTGGAATGTGAGGTCATGAGACAGAGCCTTCATGAAAGGTATTAGGGCCTTATAAAAGAGGTCCCAGAGAGCTGCCTTGATCCTTCCCCCAAGGTGAGGACATGGCTAGAAGTTGCTATCCATGCATCAGAAAGCAAGTCCTCACCAAACATTGAAATTTGCTGGTGCCTTAATCTTGGACTTCTCAGAGCTGTGAGAAATAAGCTTCTGTTGTTTATAAGCTACCCATTTTATGGTATTTTTGGTATTAGAGCAGCCTGAAGGACTAAGATGTCTGGAGAGATCTTACTTGCAATCTCACATGTAGTTGGATGTGAACTGAGGTGGGGGTCATAATGAGTCAGACATCTACAATAGCTCCCTTACATGGCCTATAGTTGCTATTGACTATTGGCTAGGCTGTGGTTATCAACTAAAGTCCTATAGGTGACCTTGTCATCTGACTTGAATTTCTTATAGCACAGAGCTCTCTAGGTACTTATTATACATGATGGCTAGCTTCCCCCAGAGGAAGCATTTTAAGATGGTGGAGGTGGAAGAGACCACCCAAATTTAAGAGAAAGAATAACAGACCCTATTCTAGAGGAAGGGGCAGTTAAGACTATTTGTGTGTGATGGATTTTACTTGTCTCATTTTAAGGCCTAAGTTTTTTGTTCTGTTTTTTTTCTGAGTCTATCTACTTTTTTTCTGTGTTTTGTCTTTTAGCCCAATGGGTTTCAACCTGGCTGGCTATTGGTTTAAAATCATCCAGATAACTGGTTTATATAATATTCCATGATAATTGTTTACTATCTTATAAACACGAAAGGCTGAAATTATAACATTTAGAAATAAGAGGAAAAGAAGAATTTGTTATTTTGGCCAAAATATATTAGCAAAAACACTTTGCTATTAAATAAACATAGATATTGGTGCTATGATTTGAGTGTCCCCCAAAGGTTGATCTGCTGGAAGGCTGGTTCCTCACTCTGGCAATGTTGAGAGATTACAGAACCTTTATCAGGTGAATTCAAGTGGGAGATGATTAATGTTTTTCCATTCCTGTGAAAACTGGCTGCTGTTTGAAGTGCACCTGGCGCAACTCCTGAATCTCTCACTTCCTGTTTCACCATCCAGGGAGACCCTCACACCAAGACACTGGTGCCATGTTCTTGGATCTCCAGAATTGTGAGCAAAGACAAACTTCTTTTCTTTATAAAATAACCTAAATGAGAAATTATACCCCATCTGATTCAAATGTATGATATGTCAAGATCATTGTACTGTCATGTGTAACTAATTAAAACAAATTTAAAAAGTAAAAAAAATAAAATAAAATAACCTAGGCTCTGATATTTTGTTACAGCAACACAAAACAGACAGCAGTATGACAAGTACTATTCTAAGAAGCCAAAAAAGAAGCTTTATTATATATATATATATCCTAGTGTGTATATATATATATATTACTTCTAATTATTTAATTTTAAAAAGTTACATTTGACAGAATTAAAATTGGTGGCTCAAAATGAACTACAATGTCAAAAAGTAACGGTCAGTTATTTTCTTCCAACAGCAGCTGCTTTAATAATAGATTCTTGAAACAGTTATTTGAAAATGTTGATTGTCTCTGAAATCAAACTTTAGTACTAAAAATTGGTGGGTAGAGCCCCACTAATAATAAAATAAAACTTTTCTTCTTTTTGGGGGACCAACTTGTTTTATTTGAAAAGCCTAAGTGTTGGAGGACTTAACAGTTCTAAAGACCAGACAAGAAAGGGGATCACCAACAAAAATGAGAAAAAGATATAAACAGAAACAGAAAGTTGTCAGGTTGGGATTAAAAACAGGAAAGTATAATATGCAGTTTATTAGAATCCTGTTAAGTGTTGGGTGTGGTGATGCACATTTGTAATCCCAGCAACTTATGAGGCTGAGGCACAAGGATGACAAATTCAAGAATAGCCTAGGCAACTTAGCAAAACTGTCTCAAAACTAAAAATAAACAAGATATATAAGGTCACAGAAAGACTGACTGACGGGAGGTGGTGCCAAATATAACATGGAAATACTAAGTTTAAGGAAGCTAACAGTTATTAGATGAAATAAAGCTTTCAAAGCAAAAAAAATACTAATAACAGTCATTCATAAAAATAAAATTTATCTTTAACCACAGGATAAAACAGCTTTAAATTTATACACACCTACAAAGCAGACAGACAAAAGTAGACAAATCCACAATCATTGTCAGATTTTAACACACCTCTCTTCAATAGTTGATCAAATAGAAGACAGAAAATCAATAGATATATTAGACTTGAAGGAACTTGATATAATTGGACATATATAGAATACTGCACTCCAAAACTGCAGAATACATATTTTCCAAGCTTACACAAAACATTTACTAATTGATTACAAATTGGTCCATAAAGCAAATTCCAACAAACTTTGAAGGTTTGAAATCACAAAGCATGTTCACTCATCCCAATATATTATATGCAGTTGTATGTCATTATATCACAATTAAAGTTGTATTTTAAAAACTAATTCTACATAAGACAATACAATCCATATTCATTCTCTATATATTGAAGTATCAAGAAGAAAATTACCTTTTCTCTAACAAATTCACAATGCGAAGCACATTGCATTTAATGATAAAATCTATAAAATTACACCTTAGTTTGTAATATGATTATCAAAAGTTAATTTTAAATAGATATCATCAGAACTATATGACATGGTTAATGGTAGTAAAACTTCTACAGTTCTAAAAGTTAAACAATAGAAAGTAAAACAAGTGAGACTTTAAGCTGGTTGATTAAACTGCAAGTTTTCTTGCAGTTATATAGTTATTTTGATTCACAATGCTATCTTCCCTAGTTCAATTCTATTATAGTGAAGGGTTCTGGATTTAAAACAACAACAACAACAACAACAACAAACAAAAACAAAAAATCCTTGTCCAGGAAACATCCCTTATTAACACTTAATAAAACAAGTTGATACAACCTACTTCCACAACAGCAAATTACTTAACACAAATTTAAGCAAAAGAAGTTTTCCTATTCTTTTATTGCAAAAAATGTTGTTAGATGAAATTTTAAGGAAAAAAACCCCACAACTAAGCCATAATGCTCCCATTCCATGCAGTTTGATTTTGGAATTAACCATTTCCAGTTTGTCCATATGCATACATCATTTTCATATAATTGTAGTCAGTGTGTACAAGCTGTATTTTGTTTTTATATTTAAACTTTGTTCAGTATACTCTGTTTTCAGTCATCCTAGTTATACATTTAAGTTCCATGTAATTCTTCTCACTGAAGTATTAAATCAATTAATCATTTGAGTTGGATATTTATGTTACTTCCATGGTTCTCTATTATGTTACTATTTTTACCTATATAGATCTTTCTTTCAAATTATTTTCACAGGATAAATTTACCCAATCAAATTTAAAATGTCGAACTCAATTCTGAGTGAGGTGCAGTAACACATGCCTATAATCTCAGCAAGTTGAGACACTGAGGCAGGAGGATCAGCAACATAGACCCTGTCTCAAAAAATAAAAAGGTCTGGGGATGAAGCTCAGTGGCCAAATGCCTCTCACAGTACCACCTCCCAAAAGTCAATTCTGTCATCTCCTCATTCATTCTTCTTTCGGTTTACCTATTAACAGCACTATCACTTTCATTTAGGCTTGGAACCTTTTTTTCCCCCCTGCCCTCATTCTTTTCTCACCTTCACACATTTAAGACAACAGAAACATTTATTTCATTTTCTGAATCCTATAGTCACTTTTCTACTTCAGGAAAAAAAACCTTCCTTTCCTAGTTGTCTATTTCTACTATTATAATGCCTCCTTGATATCCTCTTCCAAATGACTTTCTTCTAGTTTTCTATTACATTACTGCCATTTCAATCTTCTTAAAGGAAAACTAATTACATGACTCCTTTCTCTGTAAAATTTTAATGGTTTTTTAATGTGCCTACCAAATTATTTTTAAATATATTTTTATAACTTATTTATTTTTTTAGGTGGTGCTGAGGATTAAACCCAGTGCCTCAACACGTGCTAGGCAGGTGTTCTGCCACTGAGCCACAACCTCAGCCCATTACCAATTTCTTAATCTGGAATTCAAGATGGATGATAACTATTTCCAGCCTACCTCTTCTGTTTTCTCATTACTGTCCTATATAAATACATGCTCCAGTCTGGGCTGGGGATGTAACTCAGTGGTAGATCACTCCCCTAGCATGTACAAGGTACTAGGTTCATCCTCAGCACATGGATTAGGAAGGTAGCGGGTGGGGAAGAAGGCATTCTATTCCCTTAACACAGTCTTTGCTTATCTTTCTGTTCCCTTATCAGTTCCACTCTTTTTGCCTTTTTGTCTTTTTCCCTTGAATGTCTTCTTTTATTTTTTTAATTTAATTTAATTTTTTTTGGTAGTTATAGATGGACAAAATGCCTTTATTTTATTTGTTTATTGTTTGTGGTGCTAAAGATTGAACCCAGTGCCTCAGGCATACCAGGCAAACACTCTGCCCCTGAGCTATAGCCCCAGCCCTGAAGGTCTTCTTTTATTAATTAAATCTTTCCTTAGCATCTACTCTGTGCCTCATAAGAGATTAAGCAATTGGACTATAGAGAATAATATATCACAATTCTTTGCAAGGCTAATATAACCTCATGGAAGAAGACAGAAATATGCAATGATGACAATTTCATGAACTTTCTGCTGAAGTATTTTTTTCTTCAAAGATTATTAAGATGTAGAATCTTTCATATAATGCTGGTTTTAAGAGTCAAGACCATTATTTATGTATTCTCTTTGTTATCACACAAAGAAAAATTTTATTTTAATGAATAATAATTGTATTTCACTGATTGTACTAAAATAAAGCTCTTTTAGTAATTGGTTACACCAATGAAAAATCTCTGATTCCTTCCTCCCCACACATCAATAGTCCTCCAGTTCTCAGTATATCATGTTACTGTCCTCAGGCCAGATTATTCTTTAAATAAATCTTTCAGCCCAGAAAGGGATCAATTTTGCTTGGAATGCCTCTCAAATTTACAGAAAAAAAAAATACTCTCTAAAAATTATCTCATGCAAGTTTTCGCAATTCCCAAATAATATGATAGCATACTCACATGATAATTATTTTTTTGCTTTTATTTTACCCCTGTTCACTTTCTATTTCCCCTAGACATAACCTAACTGAGGATGTCAACCATATTTCACTCATTGTGTATGTCTTGAATAAATATTTGCTAAGCTGAAAGAATCCAATTAACTGGTTGAGCTATAAGCAAAAACAATGTTTTTACATTGTTTATGAAACTTTAAAAATCAAACATACTAGTGGAAGAGTAAATTAACTTTATTGACTGATGAAAAACTAAAGTGATAAGAAGTATGAATAGTAAACGATAAACACTGAGTTTGGCTGGAATTCTATATTTCTTCTTTCCACTTTAAGTCAAAAGAACATAAAATGTCTTATAGACTGTTAGTGAACTAGTACTTTTAGTTTCTTCAACAAAACTGCATAGTTTAGCAGTTGCACAGCATTAAATATATACATCTTTGAAAAACCCTGAAAGTTTTAATTTTCATGTTGACTTCAAAAGCTAATAATATAATCACCTACACTGGTCAGATTCAGAGTTTCTTTTCCCTTTTCTGCCACCCTGTAAAGAAAAATACAACAAATTATTTAGAATATAGCACTTGGGGGTCATTTTCATTTTAAGAATATATACAACCAAAGATATTTGGGGATAAGAAAGCATTTTTTTTCTTGAATTTGTTATAAATTTGAATATGTATACCACTGAATTATTCTTATGTGGTTATTTTTATAAATGATTAAAGTAGGTTGTAGAAAATAGTTACAGCACTTCTATATGAATTTGTCTGGGCTTACTTAGCTAGATGATAAACATATTACTTTTTAGAGCTCACTTTGCCCCAGAGATTTAAAAATATTAAATTTTTGATCAATACCAAAATAAAACACAAAATCTGTTATATGTGTTCAGCACATTTAATAATTCTGTTCATGATCTTTTGAGTAATACAATTAATAATACAAGTTCTGTCTAGTTTTGTTGATATAAACAGAATAAGAAATTTGATTGTTTATCCATAGATTTCTCAGTTTATCCATATAAATCTATATTTAACTTGTTGCATATGAAACACCATTTATGGTATCTGACTTGAGCCAAGAGAAAAAGCAGCTTTTAAAGACAAAGAATTTTATATGCATTACTTTTAACATAATATTTCCTGCTTTATTCTGATTTAAAAAGCAAATATGAATTGTAGAAATATGGCAAGTACAATGTATAAAAAGAAAATTAAAATTTTCCATAACTATACACTCTATCCCTCAATTTAAATATAAATACCTTAAAATAGTTCCCACCCACCCATTTTTCTGAGGTACTGAGGATAGAATCCAGGGCCTTGTACATGCTAGACAAGCACTCAACTGCTAAACTATACCCACAGACCTTTTTATATTTTGAGACAGGTCTCACGAAGTTGCTGAGGCTGGCCTCAAAATTGTGATCCTCTTGCCCTAGACTCCTGAGTAGCTGGGTTTACAAGTATGAGCCACCACACCCAGCTACTTTCCACATTTCCCCCCCCTGGTACTGGGGAATGAATCCAGGGCTTCACATATGTTGGGCAAGTGCTCTACCACAGAGCTACAGCTGCAGCCCATTTTTCACTATTCTTATAAACTATGGCAATGATACCCAAACTTAGTTGATCATCAGAATTACCTAAGTAGCTGGGCATGGTGGCAGATACCTGTAATCCCAGCAGCTCAGGAGGCTGAGGTAGGAGGATCACAAATTCAAAGCCAGCCTCAGCAACTTAGTGAGGCCCTAAGCAGCTTAACAAGAACCTGTCTAAAAATAAAAAATGAAAAGGGATAGGGATGTGACTCAGTGGTTGAGTACCCCTTGGTTCAATCCCCAGTACCAAAACACAAAAGTATCAAAAATTACCTAAGTAGTACTATTTATAAATTTATTAGTGCATTATGGTTACACACATTATTGGGGGTTCATTCTGACATGGTCATAAATGCATAACAGTTTTCTTCATTTCAATCCCCTAATTTCCCTTCCTCCTCCCTCCCCCTGATCCTTTTCCCCTTCACTAATGATCTTCCTTCTACTTATTTATTAATTGGTAAATTATAGTTATATATAAAATTGGAATGAATTGTGAGATATTCATACATGCATAAAGCTTACTTTGGTAAGCAGTAGTGTTTTTAAAATTCTGATGTCTAGGCTTTGTCCCATATCTATTTAACTGGATTATAATCTGTAATTCAAAATGTTTCCAAGTAATGCTGCTGATCAACCAAATTTGAGAACTGCTTGTCTATGGAAGTACATTTTTGAACTAGTGGTCATAACAGAGTCATAACAAGCCCAGACTCATTTGATAATGAGTTTGAAAATAATTTCTTTTACCCCTATTCTGTTTATACTACTCTCTATATCACCACTCTTGGAAGGGAGGGGAGAGAAGTATAGGGGAGGAAAGAAGTGGAGGGGAGGGGAGCATCCCAAGTATAAAAATGCTGTTCTTAACTCCTGACCACATTAAAGTTCTGCAAAGATTTAATGAACGAACAGGTTTTGTAGAACATGAGGTTGTAATGACATGTATTTTAAAAAGAGATTTATCTAGCAGGAAAATAAAAATAAATTTAAGAATTCTTTAAGATATATAACCACTATACATAGTTATCAATGTTATGTGGCTAAAAACTTACCATGCAACTCAATGAAATAAATCAACAACCAAACCAAACCAAACCCCCAACAACAAATATACAGGGGGATCTTTTTCAAAATCTCCTAGGCAAAGGAAATTTTCCTTTCCAAACTGATTCAATTTCAAAGCTAGGACTAAACAAAATTTAGGTTCTCCACACCACCACAGGTTCTAAGCATTTTTGACCATAATTCCAAATCAATCAATGCATTTTTATGATTCAGAAACATAAATATGTACAAATGTGTATATATATTTAAATATAAATATATATTAAAATGAAGCACTGTTTTGGGGTGTTTTTTTTTGCTTCATCCAGAGAGAAGATGTTGAATGTCATCTTGTAAATGCAGAGTAAATCAAAGAATTAGAAAATCACTATTAGGTAATCACCAAAAATAACTGATGCAAATAACAAATAATAATTGATGCAAATATTATCATGAAAATGATATGCACAAAATTTCTCCAAGTATTACCCCTACATAGTACTTATAAATTATAAAGGAGAAATGGTATCTTTTTAATGGAGCTATAGCCCTGTACCCAAGCAAACTTAGGATACAATGGGACAAATCTCATTTCCCCAAAGATGACTCAACGGCACATATGTCATACCTTCTACTAATTCCAAAGACTTTCCCAAATTACTTATTTGATACTGTACAAATCAATATCTAACATTTTCTAAAACACAAAGTACATGACTATTAAATTATTAATATATATGGTGTGTAAATTCTGGCCTAAGAATAAAATACTACATTTATTCTCACATAGTGTCTACTCAAATTACTGTGTGTAATGAAAACTCTTGAAAATTTTAAAAGCATACCTGGTATTTGGCTAATTCTGCTTGTAATACTTTCACTTTAGATCTTTCTTGTTCTAATGCTGCATGAAGTGACGTCACCTATAAACAAACATTCAATAAGAAAACATTTTAAAATTTATAACACTTAATTTATAATGATAAATTCTGACAAATAAATGAGTATCAAAGCAGAAACCCTCCACATAATTTCCATTAGATGTTGTACATGGTTATATATTAAAGATAGATAGGATAAGCTCACTGTTGTACTAGAAGACAGAATAAGGATAGAAAGAGAAAATCAAGTACAGGAACAGAATAAGTTCTATGTTCACAGTTACCTAAAATGCAACCTTATTTTTCTCCATTGGTGCAAAAAATAGAATCATCATTTATTTGCTAATACACAATAAAAGTATAATTTCTATCACCTCCTTGCTATGTTGATGGGCTGTATTTGTTTATTCAAGTTTAATACTGTAAGATTGAAGAACAGCCTAAAAAGACTACTCGTATGCTCCATAGTTCCTTACCTGTATAGTTAGCTCATTCTTGATACTTTGTGATTCATCAACTTGCAGAAGAATTTCTGCTTTATCTTTCACTGACAAAAAAAAAAAAAAAGGAAAAACCACCGTATAGTCTTTTCAGTCACTCAAATACTTAAACAATACTACAATAAACCAATAGCAAGTTAAGTATAGTGAGAACACTCTGGGAAACCTTTTTATTTTATTGATTTGATAAATCATATATCTTGAAAAATTGTCTTCAGGTATTATTTAAGATAAACCTTAACTCTAAAAACATCACTTACTTTCACCTTCCTGCAGCATTTTCAATAACTGTGCATTTCTTGCCTTTACTTCTTTATACTTTGCCTAAGAGAAAAAAATTGTTTTTAAAAAAGTAAATGATACAATTAGTGTTATATTAACAATTACTGTTTCACTATCAATTTGTTTCACTATCAAGCTGTGAATTCTAGCCTTCTCAAAGATATAAATTACTTTTGAAAGAAAAAGGGTAGAGAAAGCTGTAATCAGAATTGTCTACTACTAAAATAAATCTTTGATACAATAATAGATATTATTATAGGTGATTATAAATTTAAAGGAGAGATAATTATAAATTTAAAGGAGGGATAAAAGTGAAGGAAAGTTAGGTAATAGAATTCAAAATAATTTAGATAAAAACCAAAATGAAAATGACTCACAGTCTATACCAGTACTGTCCAGCAATATATAAGAATTTTCTATATCTGTTCTATATCTGCCACTATCCAATATGTGGTTACTGAATACTAAAAATGAAGTTTTAATCTTATTTAACTATAATTTAAATTTTGGGACACTTGCAGTGGTAACTGAATTTTGTAATGCAGTTCTATCTCTTCTCAGTTAAGGTTTAACTGATCTCTTATTAATTCATTTACTAAAAATTATTGTTATGGTAATTTTTAGCTGATATGACTTATTTATTAAAATCTTTCAACTCTTTTTCCAATTTCTTTTTCCAAATGATTTTGCTCCTTCTCATACTACATAAATGATATAATAATATATTTATAAACAAAGAGGAATTGTGCTCCCACATTAACAATCCATATTCTAGGCAATTTTCTGCCTATGCTACCCTATTCAACATGGGCCCAATACTAGTATATTTTAAAAAATAAAAGCCTAAAGAACGGCTGGGGTTGTAGCTCAGTAATAGAGTGCTTGCCTAGCATGTGTGAGGCCCTGGGTTCGATTCTCAGCACTGCATATAAATAAGTAAAATAGAGGTCCATTGACAACTAAAAAATATTTTTAAAAAAAGCCTAAAGAAAACATGTAAGAAACTTTAAGAAACTTTTCATTTCTTCTCTCAACATGTACAGATATGTGCAGAAGTTATCAGATCCCAAAATTTTGTTTCATTTGGCAGTATTAGGGATGAAACCCAAGGCCTGTATACACAGGGCAAGTGCTCTACCACTGAGCTACACCCCCAACCCTCAAAACTATTTGTAAAACAAATTTAGATGAATTTCACAACCTATAAAAGTGGCTTTTACTAACCAGTACTTTGTCCATTAAATTGTTGATGATAAATCAGTACTATATGCTAAGTAACAGTATAGTCAACACAGTAAACCAAAGCACCACAGTAAATATAAAGGGTAGGACTTGAGTTTAGAAATGAATAAGGAAGACAAGATGGAAACATAGATACAAGGGGGAAAACATATCCACTAAACTATATTCACTATGAATACAGAAAAATACACCATAAATATGGAGCCACACTACTATAAAATTCTCATGTCTTCAATTTCTGCTAACATCTCACCAAACTTTAGCTCAAAACTTTAGCTCCAAGGTTCTGGTCAGTATACACAAAGCCACCTCTTAAGTAAGCCTTGAAGAGTCTAAATTGGTTCTTAAAGCAAACTTGAAAGTGTGCAAACTTACCTGTGAAAATTCCCTAAATTGCTCATAAATAAATAGCATACATAGTTTTGTATATACAATCCTGAATAAGCATGTCTACAAAAACATAAATACGTAAAATACCAGTAATAAGTAGTTTATGATAATGTATGCAATATTTGATGCCCTTACTAGTGTTTTGAAAGTTTATGAAAGAGTATATAAAATTGATAAAGTTAAATGCATATATATTGACCCCCACTGTGTCTTGAGCATATATACTTGCATATAACACAGCCATTTCAAATTCAACAAGTTCAATGGAATCTATTAGTTCCCATTTCTCAAAACAGTTTGAAAAATGTGTCCTTCCTCTTACACTCAATACATGGTCATTTTTATCAGACTGTCTTCACTTTAAGACTAGGCTATATGCATTATCATCCCACAAAACAATTCTCATGTCAAAAGAAAAGACTTTTTACTGCCCTCTTTGTGTAATACCCAACAAACACCTTCAATCTCATTTTCGATAGCTTCTCAATTCTCTAAATGTCAGTTACCATGTACATCCCACCATTCCCATGTTTTTGTACCCACTATTTTCCTCTCTGGAAAAAACATCTTTTCTGTGAAATCTTACCAATTTTAAACAGCAACAACTCTTTGTTCTTTTCTCTGTACTTTTTGAATACTCTGTCAAATATCAATTATAATTCTTATACTGTACTGCAATTGTTTATATGTTTATCTTCCTTGTAACTCATTTTTTGTTCTCCATGCCTATTACAACAAAAGTAATGAAAGCAGAAATGAAAGGCTAAGGAAGATAGGCATATATAGTGATTCTTAAAGGCAGGAGCAGGAAAGAAGTGTAAGTACCATAAGGGTTGGAACTTGACTTTCTTTTTTTTAACTATTACATATGCAGGACCCAGAAGGGTACTTGGCATACTACAAGTACTCAATAAATAATTGTTCTAAGAATTAGTCAAAGAGAGTGATATTCAAATTGAGTAAAGAAATTTTAAGGGCTAAAGGAAGAAGTAAGAGAGTAATTCACATAATTTATGGTTAGAAATACACACTTATTTAACAAATGTTGAAGATGTGGAGAAATTAGAACCCTAAGCACTGGTGAGAATGTAAAATGGTATAACTGGGGCTGGGGTTGTGGCTCAGTGGTAGAGCGCTCACCTAGCGCCTACAGGGCACTGGGTTCGATACTCAGCACCACATTAAAAAAAATAAATAAAATAAAGGTATCGTGGCCAACAACAACAACAAAATATTTTAAAAAATGGTATATACTACTCTTTTTCAACTACTTTGAAAAAGAGTTGGTGGTTTCTCAAAAAATTAATCCAAAGAATTAAAAGCTGGGACACAGATACTTGTATACTAATAAACAAAATGTAGTATATACATACAATGGAACATCATTCAACTATAAAAAGGAATAAAATTCTGATACACGCTACAACATGGATGAACCTTGAAAACATTATACTAAATGAAATAAGCCAGACATAAAAGGAAAAACAACATATGATTCTACCTATGTGAGGTACCCAGAATGGACAAATTCATAGATATTAAAGGTTATAAAGGTCTGGGGAATGAAAATGCAGTTGTTTAATGGGTACAGAATTTCTGTTTGGGATAGGATGATAAAAAAAATTCTGGAAAGAGATAATGGTTATGATTAGACAAGATCATGAAGATACTCAATGCCACTGAATCAGTAGTACACTTGAAATGGTTATAAATATTTTACAACAATAAAAATTATAATATTGTTCAGACATTAAATCATTAATCAGTTTTAAAATTCTCAATAGCAGAATGACTATTTCTATCAGCTGCATATTAAACATTTACATATAAGAAAAGCAGAGGATTGGGGTTGTAGCTCAGTGGTAGAGCGTAGAGCGCTTGCCTAGCATGTGTGAGGCACTGGGTTCAATTTGCAGCACCACATATAACTATTTAAAATAAAGGTCCACTGGCAACTAAAAAAAAAGAAAAATAACATTTGCATTTATAGACTGGTGGATACAAACCTCCCACTGAGTGATCACATTTTTCAGCTTCTGAATTTCAGCATCTTTCTTTTCAAGTTCCAACTTTAGTCTTTCAATTCTTCCATCTTTCAGAACCACTTCCTGAAAAAAGAAAAACACTATTTTAGGACTAAAATTGTTCTATCAAACCTGGCTTGCAACAGTCCTTTGTGACAAGTTTAAAAGGAAAAATCCTAACTTTAATTAATTTTCTTAGGCAACCTTAAATATTGACATTTCCACTTTGACTCAATTATGATCCTAATTCTATAATGTAAGCAAATAAGATTTCTACAGTTAATTTCAAACTGCAAATATACTTTAGAAGAATATCAGGACTCTGGAATGTTATTTCTATCTTGAAATAAACATTAAAAGTCCTCCATGACAAGTTACTATTATTAGTCTATCCTGAAAATTCCTGTCATCTTGTACCATATACTAAAGTAAATAAATTTAAATGTACAAAGTCATCCAAAGTCCATTCTTTTGATGAACATAAATTGGCTCTATTTATATAATGAGTAAGGAGGCAACACCAATTTATTCCACAAATACAGGTTATCTTAGCTGCTAGGTACCAGGTATACAATAGAACACCTGAACTGAAAAGCTTCTTACTCTTATGGGACTTAGATATCTAAGAGAGGAGACAGATCACAGATAAACAAATGCTGCAATTAGAAAGGAAGAAAAAAGACAACAGTGTAGATAGAGTATAATAAGGGGCAAGATAATGACTTCAGAAAAATCAATAAAGCCTGATCTTAGAGGGCCTTGTAAGCTATAAAAACAGTCTGCATATTATTGTGATTAAAACAGAAAGCAGTGAAGGATTCTGAGCAGAACCATTATATTTATATTTATTTTAGATTTAGATTTAGATTTTATATTAGAGATTTACATTTATGTTTGTAAAGAATCCCTTTAGGTATTGTGTGGAAAATGCACTGCAGTGGGGGCAAAGACAGGTAGAAAGACCTTTTAATGCTATTATAAGCCCAGATCAAACAAGATTATGCCTTGGATAAAGGTAAAGCAGAAAAAATGGAGATAAGTGTATCTGAGAAATAATTTGGAGCAGAATCAACAGCATTTGGATGAGAGGTTGAATGTAGCAAATGAGGATGATGGACACTCTAGTCTGAGTTTCTAGTTTAAGGAATAAGATGGGTAGATCAAAATTAGCACTATACTACTATTGGGCCCACGAATCTCACTCCTAGAAATTTATGTTAAGTGGGAAGGTGAAGCATCTATGAAAATGTTCACTGTGGGTTCATCACAACAAAAATATATTATCAATTTAAAAGCCAAAGCATAGGACATAGGCTAAATACACAGTAAATTCACAAAATTGAAAACTATGCAATCACTAAAAATGATGATAAAGAACAATAAAATATATTTGCATGATCCCAAAATTGTAATATGTGTGAAGAAAAAAATTCTAGAAAGACATGTCAATCATAAATTTTATTTATTATTTTAATCATAAATAAGGTTTCACTTTATTGTTTTAAATTTTTCTTTTATCAAAATTATTTTATATTGCGTATCTAACAATGAGAACAATGCAGAATACAACTTTTGAAAAAATGAGACCGTTTTAAGTATGTTTTTAAGAAACTAATGGATCTTTTAAAAATTTTATTCATTTATTTTTATGCGGTGCTAAGAATCAAACCCAGTGCCTGACACGTGCTAGGCAAATGCTCTATCACTGAGCCACAATTCTATCTCCTATTTTAAGTATTTTTAAAAATCTGGATAAATATGACTATCCACTTTGAATAGGAAAGACTTTCTGATATCAAAGGAAGAAAACAAAAAGAAAAAGACTGACAGACTTGACTCAATTAAAAAATCTCAAAAAATAATGTAATAAAAATCAAAAGGTGAATGAAAAGCTAGAAAAAATAGTTGTAACCAATATGATAGACATATGACCAAAAAAACTTGAAAAAAACATGCAATCTCATTAGTTATCAAACTGGTACATTAAGATTTTTCTCAACATAGGATAATTGCAAGCAACTTAATCTATAAACTGAATTATTTATTTAATGTACAAGAACTATTTGATGACCTGAAATGCTCACCATCTATAATTAACTGAAAAAAGTGGTTCATATGACAGTTACACATTGAGGAAAAATGTATATATCCATAGAAAAGTAGAACTATACCAAAATATCACGAGTAGTTTCCTCCAGGTGACTAAGATGAGGGTCTTTCTTTCCCCACTACATCTACAAATTGGGGATGATAATAATTCCCACCAACTCAATGGTTAACTATGAAATAAGAGTCTATTTTAAGTAGTTAATGCAGTATATCTGAAATATATATATCTCCATATATCTATTCCACAAATATTTATTTTTGGTTTTATTGTTGTATTTTACTTAAATTTTTACAATAAATACATAACACTATTTAAAACACAAAGCCATATTGTTTTAACATATACTCACTTTTAATGAAGTACTACATTTTTATAAATATATTTACAAATTATCTTCTAAGTAAAAGTTATCATAATAAAATGAGATTGAAAGGATGTATAAGACAGAGTCTGTGCCCAAAGGAACTTGCAATCTATTAAGAATGGTAAGAATGACTGCTATAATAAAACCAAAATGTTATGAGGAATAAAAAGGAAGTAAAGATCATATCCAGATTTTCTGGTTTTAGTGTTGAAGACTGGGCTGTGGAAGAAGAAATGACATGTGAAATGCACATTTTTTTCATGAGTAAGTGGGGAAGGACTTCACACAGGATTGGTCTGCAGTTGCTATAGAAAAAAGTTTGGAAGAGTATATACATGGGAAGTTAATTGAGCTGAGGCTATCCTGAGAACAATGCTTTCAAATTTACTTAAGAGTAGTTCATGATAGGAATGTTTTATACTATGACACAGAATGCACATACATGTCATGTACATATGTGTATATCTTGTGTGTATACAGATGTGCACACAGGAACAAATTTTATAAAATATAAATAGGTATTACATACTCTGACATTTTCTCATGTACTCTTTTTGTTTGTAAGAAATGATAAAAATCAACTTAATGAAAACAAATGCTTGTTAAAAATGGCAGAATTCCACTAGGTGAAGTGGTGCACGCCTATAATCTAGCAGCTCAGGAGGCTGAGGTAGGAAAATTGTGCGTTCAAAGCCAGCCTCAACAAAAGTGAGGTGTGCTAGGCAACTCAGTGAGACACTGTCTCTAAATGAGATATAAAAAAGTGTTGGGATGTTGCTCAGTGGTTAAGCTCCCCAGGGTTCAATCCTTGGAACTGGGGGAAAAAATGGTAGAATACAGGTTTGTTTTTTCACACTTAATAATTCCTGGTATATAAATGCATATACAGTTTAAAAATGATTTGAATACTGGCAAAAAGAAGAATTTTCTTTCTCTGATAAAGGAGTACAATGGGGCAGAGAAAGAGAATTTAAAAACAGGCCTCAATTCTTTTTTCCCCAGTACACTCAACGACATACTACAACAAAATCCTAATTTTTTTTTAATTATGAAAGACTTCACATATGCACATATATATGTATAACATGTATATGTTAGGTAAAAGTAAAAATAACCCAATATGCAGATTAAGAGTTTTGAACTTCTTTTAAGGATGAGTTTTACCAATACCTTGGCAGCACCCATGTGCCTCTCCTAGTTTATATCCCTTTCTCTTCTCTCCTGATGATCTCCACTGTTATGAACATTAAATTAACATTATGTTTAACATTGCCTTTATGTATATATACATTTATATGTGTTATATGTCTATATAGAATTCATATATGTATACATATAGATATCCCGAGTAATATATCAAATTTCTAATTTTTTAATATATGTATGAATAGCATTGAACTCTATTATCAATAAACACTTTGTTCTTGATATTTGTCCAACGAACTGCAGCTTAAGTTCATTCACTTCTCCTACTGAATTTACTATTTCAAAACAATGAAGTTTTTAACATGCCTACAGGACTTAGTTCAGGGATAGAGTTTCTACAACATAGATCATGCCCATCCATCATGTTCAACTTTAAAAGATAACGCCAAATTGTTTCCCAAAATGGTTATACCAATTTATATTCCTACTAATAGAATACTACTGTTGCACTAAACCCTTCCAATTAAGCATTATCTAGTTCTTATCCATAGCCTTCATCCTCCTTCAATTTTTCCTAGGTACTGCAATGAAATTAATAGTTACCAAATAAAACCTCCCTTCTACTCAAAAGCCCTCAAAGATTCTCTACTTATTTATCCTAAAGAGTTAAAATCATCATACAGTAATACATGCATACCCATGTTTATAGAAGCACAATTCACAATAGCCAAACTATGGAACCAGCCTAGATGTCCATCGATGGATAAAGAAAACACGGGGGGCTGGGGATGTGGCTCAAGCGGTAGCGCGCTCGCCTGGCATGCGTGCGGCCCGGGTTCGATCCTCAGCACCACATACAAACAAAGATGTTGTGTCCGCCAAATACTAAAAAATAAATATTAAAAAATTCTCTCTCTCTCTACCTCTATCTCTCTCACTCTCTCTTTAAAAAAAAAAAAAAAAAAAAAAAAAAAAGAAAACACGGTATATACACACACAACAAACTTTTATTCATCCATAAATAAAAACGAAATATGGCATTGCAGGAAAACGAATGGAACTATTTCAAGAACATTATGTTAAGTGAAATAAGCCAAATTCAGAATGTCAAGGGTCATATGTTTTCTCTCATATGTGGAAGCTAGAGAAGAAAAAAGAAAAAAAAAGGTGGGGGTGGATCTCCTAAAAATCAAAGGGAGATCAATGGAGGAAAGGATTAGGGGATGGGCGATGGGGAAGGAGGGGAAAGTGCTGAGGAGTGATACTGGCCAAATTCTATTGTTGTATTGTGTGTATGTATGCATGTGTAACAATAAATCACATCATTATGTACAACTATAATGCACCAATAAAAAATGTGGAAAAAAAGGACTATCAAGTAGAAATGGGGATATGGCAAAAATTACATAGCACTGATTATCAGATGAGAACATTAGCACTGTATTAAAAATATTTTCTAGCAATACCTGTTGGTTCAGAGTTAAATTAGAATAGAGAAGGGAAACAATACTGAAAGCCAATGGTGCATAATGGCAAACTTTTTTTTTTTTTTGTAAAGAGCTTGGCAGCAAATATTTTAGGCTTTCTGGGTTATTCTCTTTTCTTTCTTAAAAACAGTTATGTGAAAATGTAAATACTATTCTTGGTTCATGGGCCTTAAAAACAATAAGAACAAACAAACAAACAAAACAACCACTGACCAGATTTAACTCAGGCCATCCAGTTTGTCCTGTTATAAAGGATAAAATTCTAACTTCTTAGTTTCATAGGAAAAAAAATCTTTAAAATTTAACTTCAATCTATTTCTCTAATCATGTCATTCCAAGTTTACCTTAAACTTCTTGGTTGTGGAGTTTTTCAATTTCCTGAATACTCAGTTACAGGTCTTTCCTAATTCTGCAGTTGTCTTAGGATGCAGTCTCTCTCCATTTCGCAGTTTAGAGTTATTTATCATTCAAAATCCATGCCAAATGTAATTATTTATATACCATCACAATTCACCCAAGCTATGATTGTTTTCTATTCAAAATATCTTTCTTATTGTTTCATATCTCTCTTAAAGTCTTCATCATGCCGAACAATCTTTTTACAAGTCTACCTCCTCAAATGCCCATTAATCTTTGTGTTCCCTCATCCCTTCACCAGTGCTTAACTGTACATAAAATATAGAACATATTCAATAAATATTCATCAATGAATAAACTACAAACTTAGTATTTTTAAACATAAATACTTTCATGGGATTACTAACTAGTAAGATAATATCAAAAAACTTGCTTTACATAATGAAAACTGGATTCTACAAGCTTACTTTAAAAAAAGATAATTTGCATTTTAATTTCACTGTGATTTTAAGAGAATTTTCTATTTTACATGCCTGGTTGTGTTCATGAGCTGTACAATTATCTGTTCCATTATACTCTGTAAGCTGTTCTCTTCTTTTTTCTCTAATAAGAATTTTATGAACATCATCTTCCAGTCTATTGAAGAATCCTCCATCATGTGATAAAGTCTGAGAAGAACTCAATTCCTGTCAAAAATGAATTATGATTTACTATTATTCAACCCAACAAGTGAATTCATTTAATAAACCTAGTCAGTCACTAGAAGGATAAAGAATGAAAAAAAAAAAAAGACAGCTAGGAGATTATCAACCACTCAATCCTTCTGTATCTCCAGAAAATAAACAGTAGACCCATTTCCAAAAGTCCTTTTCTTACTTCATATTTTTTTAAAGTTGGGAACTGATTGATTTTAAAGCTTTTGTTACTCACATGCAATTCACTCTTCTAAGTGTTATATTTATTGTACCTTTTAACCTAAAAAACATTAATTTTTTTTTTGTAGTATTGGGGATGAAACCTAGAGCCTCATGTGTGCTAGGCAAGTTGCTCTACCACTGAGCCACATCCCAAGACACACCCCCTTCCTATTCTGAGGCAGGGCCTTGCTATGTTGTGTCCAGAATGGTCTCTAACTCCCTGAGTTCAAGTAATCCTCCTGTCTCAGCCTTCCCAGGAACTGGGAGTTCAGGCATGCACCACTGCAAATGGTTTTAGTAATTACATTTACTTCTAACATCTACTTTGAGTTAATTTTTTTGTATGGTATTGAAGGAGTACAAATTCATTCTTTGGCATGTAGATATCCAGCATTATTTGTTAAGAAGACTATTTTCCCCAATGAATTGTCCTGGCACCCCTGTCCAAATCTCTGGACTCGTAATCCCATCAACCTATGTTTATACTTATGCTGATAATGCACTGTATTGATTAATAACCTTGTATTGCTTGATATTTTGCATTGCACTTATAAATAATTTTTAACATAAATTCTATATACCATGAAGAATGTTTTAAAGAGATAATATTTTATCATTATATATACAATTATGTAAAATTACAAAGTTTACACATTCTCCAATAAAGTAGTATTCCTCCTCTGACTTCCTTTGTATGCACAGAGACTAAAGAAAATATTCTTCTCACTCTCAATGATTTCACTTAGGCCCCACATTTTTAAGTTCTAATACAATTTTACCAGTTTCAATTGTATTTGTGATCAAATTCTACATCCTTTTCCCTTCACATTGTCTATGAAAATTAAGTGTTTGAATAAACTATTTTCTTGTATATAAGTGCTTAATACACAAATGACATTTTAAAAGTTTGTAAAATGCTTTATATTTTACAAAGCATTTAAACAAACATTACTATTTGAATCTCATAAATACTATGAGAAGTTGACAGAGCAAGTATTTATCCCTCCCGCCCCAGGTAATTATGGGCTCAGGAATGCCCATAAATTATTGCTAAATGCTACAGATATAACTCTTAAACCTATTGCTTCATGAAATATTTCCAGAATATTCTTTTTTAAATAATTTTTTTACACCTTTATTTTACTTGTTTATTTTTGTATGTGGTGCTGAGGATCGAACGCAGGGTCTCACACATGCAAACTGAGCACTCTACCGCTGAGCCACAACCCCAGCCCCCAGAAAATTCTTTTCTTAAAAAATATTTTTAGTTGGAGATGGGCACATACCTTCACTTTATTTATTTTTATGTGGTGCTGAGGATTGAACCTAGTGCCTCACACATGCTAGGCAAGCACTCTACCACTGAGCCCCTAGCCCCTCTTTCAGTATATTCTGTTAAGACTTCATCTGAAAGCAATAAATACAAAAGTGCTTAAAACACTTCTATAAACAGAATAAATAACATGCTGTTGGCAACAATCTCTGGATTTTCCTGCAACTAAAAAGACTGCAGTTCCATCTAGTGTGTCTACTTTTTGATAGATGCTCCCATTACTACAATCCTATCCCAATCTCTATCCACTATCCCTATTCTCATATCTTTTGAGTAGTTCTTAGTGAGGCACAAAATTTCTTTTCAGCCTATAAGATGAAAAATTTCAAACTACAACTTGATAAACTACGGGGGAGACAAAAATAATTCAACTACCACCCCCCACCGTTCATCACAGAAAAAAAGATTGAAATGTGGTGAATTTAAGAATATAGATTCTTTAAATCAATTACTGTATAGCCAATTCAATTTCAATTTAATCTGAAATATGAGCACAGCATACAATGAGTAAGACAGTATAATGCTTGCATAAATATAGACATACAAATCAATTAAACAGATTGATAGTCTTATCGTAAACTTTTACATTTATGGTCAATTTAATTTTTTAAAAGGTGCCAAAGCACTTCTTTAAGGAGATAATAGTATTTTCAATAAGAAGCACTGGGAAAACTGGATATGCACATGCTGAAAGGTAATTTTGAATTTTTTATTCATACCAAAAGGTAAATTTGAATTTTTTATTCATACCATACAAAAAATTAACTAAAATATGAATCATAAACATTAAGGAAAAATTAAAACTATAATGCTTCTTGAATAAATAATAATGGTCTTCGGTTAGGCAAAGAGTTATTAAATGAACATCAAAAGTATAATCCATCAAAACATAAAATTTTTCTGCTTCAAAAGATACCATTAAGAAAACAAAAAGGCAAAACACAGCCTGAGAGAAAATAACTAGAAATCATACATCTGACAGAGGACTCATATCCTCCAAACATATGAAGAAATCTTATAATCAATAATTAGACAACACAATTAAAATGGGCAACAGAACTGAACAGACACTTCATCAAAGAAGATGCAAAAATTGCTGCTAAGCAAATGAAAAAATGCTTCTTAGTTTAAGAAAGTGCAAACTGAATGAAAATTACAATTACATGCTATAATCAAATGGCTATAATCAAAACCAGAGACAATATCTAGTATTAGTAAGAATGTATAGAAAATGGAACCCTCAGGGGAAATACTAGCAAGAATACTGGCCAAATTATATTGTTATATTATGTGCATGTGTGAATATTTAACAACAAATCCCACCATTATGTATAACTATAATGCACCAATTTTAAAATGTGGAACCTAGAGCCCTCGTGTTGCTGGGAATGATAACTGGTGCAGTCATTTTTTAAAACAATCTGACAGACTCTAAGTCTAAACATAAATTTACCATACAACCCAGCAATTTCACTACTAGATATCCACCTAAGAGAAACGAAACACACAGCCAACAAATGTTCATTCACAGAAAATCCACCAACATTTATACAATGGAATATTATTCACCAATAAATCTGAATGAATTAATGATACATGCTATATATGGGTAAAGCTCAAAAACACTAAGTGAAAGAACTTAAATGTATAAGACTACATATTGTAGGAGTACATTCATAAGAGATTGCCAAAAAAGGCATAGCTGCAGAGATAGAGGTCAGAAGAGTCATTGCCAAGGGCTGAAGGTAGGAGTAGAGACTAATTATAAATGTATATGCCAGGGCTAGGGTTGTGATTCAGTGTTAGAGTGCTTGCCTAGCACATGTGAGGCACTGGGTTTGATCCTCAGCACCACATTTTAAAAAATACATGAAATAAAATAATAAAGTTATCATGTTCATCTATAACTAAAAATATTTTATAAAATAAATGGATATGCAGGAGCCTTGGGAATTATGGAAATTTTTGAAAACTAGACTATGATTATAGCCACAAAACTCTTTAAATATACTACAAATGAGAGTAGGGGTTGTAGTTCTGTAGTAGAAGTTGCCTAACATGCATGACACCCTCAGTTCAATTCCCAGCAACTCAAAACAAATATTAAGTAAATATTATTTTAATACACACATGCTATATACACATGCAATAGACAAATTTTATGGTACATAACTCAATAAAGCCATTTCTAAGAAGGCACTCACAACTCCACCATTGTTCTTCTTTTGTTTTTTTTTAAAGCAGTTTTTTTTGTTGTTGTTGTTTATTTTTATGTGGTGTCGGGGACCAAGCCTAATGCCTCACACATGCTAGGCAAGTGCTCTACCACTGAGCCACAACCCCAGCCCCTCCACCATTCTTCTTAACAATTTAGAACACTGTTTATCCCCTTGTGCCCTGCCCTCATGTAGTTTTCACTTATCTCTATCTTCCTGCAAAGTTAATACTACCCCTCAAATTTAGTTTATCATTCCCATCTTTGGTTTGTGTTTTACAAGCATATCATTAAACAATATAAATGCATTTGCCCATTTTCTCTATTTACTTTTTATTATGAAATTTTTCATCCATTTATTCTACCCCTAAACTTAACAACTGTAAAGTTTTTCCTATATTTATCCTATATTTCCCCTATTGTTGCTTATAATTTTACAGCATAGCCATCATGACATTTTATCTCAAAATTCTTTCACATGCAGTTATAAAATATTTTTCAATGTAACCATATTATCACACCCAACAAAAACATATTTTCTAATATCATATACTTATGCCTATTTCATATTTGAATTTCTTCAGCGGTAACAAAACATCTTATTACTAGTCTAATTAAGGTCTACATATTACATTTGGTCATCTCTTAAATCTCCTTTAATCTAGAACATCCTCCTCCAAACACTCCACCTTTTCTTCTCAGTAACATTTTTGTTTTGTTTTGTTAAAGAGACCAGGTCAGTTGTCCTACAAAGTATCCATCTCGGTTTTGCTGGTTTGCTTTATCTCTTGTAAAATGGAAGTCAGAGCTCAAGGCTTGATTTATATATTAGGTTAAACTTTAAAAAAAATTTTTTTAGTTGTAGATGTACACAATACCTTTATTTTATTTACTTTTATGTGGGGCTTAGGATTGAACCCAGTGCCTCATATGTGCTAGGTGAGCGCTCTACCACTGAGCCACAACCCCTGCCTCAGGTTAAGTATTTATAGCAAGAATACTTAAGTTTTGCCAGGTTCAGTGATGCATGCCTATAATGCCAGCAGCTCAGGAGGCTGAGGCAGGATTGTGAATTCAAAGCCAGTCTCAGCAATTTAGCAAGGCCCTAAGAAATTCAACAAAACCCCATTTTTAAATAAAATATAAAAAAGGGCTGGAAATGTGACTCAGCAGTTAAGCGCCTTTGGGTTCAATCCCCATTTCTTTAAAAAAAAAAAAAAA